TAATATTTGATATGTATTGTTTAACTATTGATGGCAACTGTTGATATCTTCCACCTTGGTAAACTAACAACATTGTGTTTCTTGTTTGGTTGTTTTTTGTGTTGTTTGCTGAATAAACATACTTTAAAATATCTCAGCCACAGTTTCCTATAATATTTGATATCTACTGTTTAATTGTTAAATTTTCCGTTTCTTGTTCTTGTGTGTGACTTCTGTTAAATGTTAATATATCGATGTATTTTTGAAATGATGTATTATACTATACTTTTGCAAAATGTTTTTATACTCTGGTATTTGGAAGTTTTCAGATTCACCGGTTTATCTTGGCACATAATCCAGCATTTGGTCAGGAAATTCTGCGAATGATCTAAACAGGTACCCCTGCAAATTTTTGATGAGGATATAGATGGAAGTGTTATATTGGTGGAGTGTTTGTTTTGGAGTCGCATGATCAACGGAGCATTGAGTGCAATGTATATTTTGTTGATGACATTGTCAGTCTGAGGACAGACTTCAACATTCAGGTACGTTCTTATATTGAATATTTCAATCAGTTAGGGATATTATTTTAAAGGTTTTTTTAATAGATAAGTGATAATTTTAGTAAGACACATAGTTGATATGAGTTATCCAGCTAGCTATCATATGGAAAACTAGCGGTTGTACTCTGATTCCGGTCCTTGCATGTAACATGCTCTCAAGAGTCTTCATCTACCATCAAAGCTGGAATGTCGCCATGTGGCTTAAAACACAACAATTTAATAGTTATATGTTGAATAGATAAATAGTTTATTATGAAGTAGTATTTTTTTTGTAATTGTATAATATATTTTGAGGTTTTGTCACCCATCCTTGTCTGAAAGATTGCACTAACACGTCTAACAATACAGATGGAGGGTCGCCATTTGACTAAACGAATTACTTGTCAGACACTGTGGAAGTTGATCAAGACTGGTATCGATTCTTCGAGAGTCCCGGTGTTGATATACTCGCAAGAAGTATTCGTGTTTTGGGCAGCTTTTTACACCTCTTTGCCGGCAGATTTGTAAGATTGGAAGTTGTTCCATTGTGGAGAGAGGTGGACAATCATGGTGTATTGTTTGGAAAAACTTGTCTTTTGACGGCAGAAGTAAATCTCAATAAAGGTAATGAGTCACAATACTGTTTATAATGTCTCTGCAAAATCAAATAAGTCGTTTTAATTGCTGCTATTTCTGTTTTAAGTAATGGCCTAGATGTTTTGCGCGGATGGAAAAATTCCTAAAGCTTTTCAATTGAAGGTTTGCTTGCTAGCTAGTTTAAGATTTACTCAAATACCTGCCTCTGTTGGAAACAATACATGAAACAGCAAATTTCACAAACTAAAATTTTTTGAAAGTCCCTTTATGACTTAAAAAGAATCAAAACAAATAATTGTAACTATATACATGCATTTAAATTGGAAAATGTATTTAGAAAATGTTCACATTTTAAGAGTTGAATGTTGATCTGTTAACTTCAGTGACCTTTCAGAAAACTCTTAGACCATGGGAGTTTTATTGCTAGATTGGTGGCTCAAGTTGTCATGGTGGATAACATCAGAATGTGGATGCTTCTGTAACAATGGTGAACGGCTTGTGTACGTACGTTGCATGGTTCAGTTTGTCAAATATGTTAACATATATGTTGTCATATATGTTATATTGTCATTCTGGAGACAGACAAGCATCCAGGGAGGAATATAGTATTGAATTTCATTGAGTAATTTCATTAGTAAAATAGGTTTTAAAGATGTATTTAATGCATAAGTAACAACTTCAGTAAAATAAGTTTTCTATGTGTATTTAATAAATAATTTAGTGAGGCATATTATACAGATGATAGGAATTGTCAAATATAGGTTGTTTAATTAGTTTATCAGTTTAATTGTTCTACTCCGATTAAACCCCTTGCCCGACACATTGCACTAAGACGAACATCTTTATGTACCAGTGTCGCTATATGACTTAAAACAAACAAACTAATTGTAATATTTTGAGCGTAAAAAGTTTGTTTAGACAGAGTAAATATTTACAGTTTGAGACAAATGTCAGGGTTTTTGTCTTCAACATACATTGTATTTAGTGTCACATCTGCAAATAAAGCTGGCGAGTTGTCATTTGGCATAAGAGATGTGACTACTGGAGCAATGAAGGATATGGCAGACACTGTGAAAGTTGATCAAGACTGGGATCGATACTTCGAGAGTCCCGGTGCTGATATAGTCGCAAGAAGCAGTCGTGTTTGAGGCAGCTTTCTACACCTCTGTGCCGGCAGATTTGTAAGATTGGAAGTTGTTTCAGTGTGGACAAAGATGGACGCGGTGTATTGTTAGGTAAAACTTGTCCTTTGATGTCACTTGTAGTTCTCATTAAAGGTAATGAGTCATGGTTATGTTTATAAAAGAGGGTTAGAATTCCCTGTCAAAATTTAATAGGTATGTCGTTATAATTACTGCTATTTCCATATTGTATAATGGGCTAGATTTTTTACTTGGACAAGGAAATTCCCATAGCTTTCTTTATTGTAGTTTGCCTTGCAAGCTATTTTAAGACAGTTCGGTTGTTTTACTTAAATTCATTCTTTTGTAAGAAACAATGCATTTAACGTCTTTTTTTCATTTACCAACATAGCTTCAATGTCGTCATATGACTTAAAAAAAGAGAAGACATTTTGTAAGTAATTAAATTTTTAAAAGATTTGTTTATAGTATATGTTCACATTTAGCGATTTGACTGTTGTTCTGTTAACACCAATGACCTTTCAGTAAACCCTTGAAGAATGTATGCTAGATTTGTGTCCAACGATGTGATGGTGGATAATGTCGGAATGTGGATGATTCAGTAACAATGGTGAATAGTTTGTGTTGGGAAGTTACATGATGGAGCATTGGTAAATTGTGTATTATGTTAATGGCAGTGTTATTCCACAGAGAGGCCAGCATCCAGAGAGAAATAAAGTGTTTCATTGTATCGAATATTTCAACAAGTAAAAATATATTTGAAAGGTTTAGCAAATAAATAAGTAATAATTTCAATAAGGTATATTTTACAGATGATAGACATTGTCAAATATAGATTGTCTAGATAGCTAGCCGATGGAAGTTTAATTGTTTTATTCCGGTACAGCCCCTTGCCTGAAACATTGCACTTAGACGCACAACTTTATGCACCAAAAGAGCTAGAGTGTCGCTATATGACTTAAAAACCAACAAATTAATTGTAATAAGTTGAGCTTTAAAAGTTTGTTTTGATAAAGAAAATATTTACATTTTGAGATAATTGTCACCGGCCCTTGTCTATAACATACATTGCATATAGTGTCACATCTGCTAATTAAGCTGGAGAGTTGTCATGTGGCGTAAGGGCTGTGACTACTGGAGCAATGAAGGACTTGGCAGACACTGTGAAAGTTGATCAAGGCTGGTATCGATTCCCGGTGCTGATATACGCACAAGAAGCAGTCGTGTTTTGGACAGCTTTCTACACCTCTGTGCCTTGCAAGTTGTTTTAAGACAGTTCGGTGGTTTAACTTAAATACCTACTCTTGCTAGAAACAATGCATATAACGGCATTTTTTTCATGTACCAATTTTTAACGTCATAATTGCGATATTTAACGGCAAAATAATTTAAGACCTTTAGCGGCGTTTGCGACATTTAGCAACAATAGTGTGCCATTTAGCGGCTATAGTGCGACATTTAGCATCGTTGCGACATATAACGGCGCCAATAAGAGTGCATACGGCAACTCACAAATATTTCTAAGAACAGACCTGTATCCAAGCTAAGTCTGCAATATTTCAACGACTACTTAGTTTTCACTATTCTTGAGTTATCCACGCATCACCGGTTAAATAATTTAGACTGTCCAACATTTCTCTGATATCGGCATTTTTCTGACATCGATACTATCATAAACAAAGCTTCATTTTTTTTTACATACACAAAACCCTTTTTGTTTTATATTTCAAAATCCAACCTCATATCAAGCTGTTTTCGAAAAATAATACAAACTAAGATGAAAGAATGATAATCACTGATTATGTGTAAGTTTATATAAAGTATATAGTGACATATGTATATATAACTTAATAAATAAACTATAATCTTAGATCTTTAATACAATTGTAAGCTGTGTAAGCTTAATAAGGTCGCAGTTTGTTTAAAAATAAACGATGTGGCTTGTATAAATTAAAAGAAAGTATTAATATTCCTTGAAAACAGTTAAAATGAATAACAAAAATACGTTTTGAGTATGTCGCAAGCCTCGTCGGTCATTAGTTGCGGTGATAATGGCAATGTTATAATTGATTTACCATATTACAGTACTATCATTAATATATTGAAAAATCGAATCTTTGACTCTCCAACAATTTTCAACTATCATCAAGGGTTAAAACACAGGTCTCTTTTTCTGTTATTTTTCCCTTCTTTTTTCAATCTCATTCTTCTTTATATCTGAACTCATCAAACTATTATCATTATTAGTCTTATTTTGCTTTTCTTTAAAACAAAAGATTTATATTTATTTATTCATTATTCGATGCAATTTGTAACACATTAGTCTTTTTAGTCAACAAACGACAATTTCTTTCGCCTTATTTTGCTCATATATTTATTGTACATAGGGAAAAAGACTTCAATAAGCATTAGGTTGCTTCCAGTCTAATCCTTTTCTTGTATTGATTGTTAATATCATGTATGTAAATATGCTTATGTGACGAATAAAATATGTTTAAACCAATACTATAATAATTATTCACTTAAAAAGGACAAATACCGAATATTGACATTTCTACTGTTTTTTTTTTGTATTTGTAAAACTGAAAATAGCATCTAGATCAAATAAGTTTTGAATAAAGAAATGTATTTTTTTTTAAAAAAAATACAACTGTTGAAAGTTTAAAAAGAAAACACAACACAGTAATATGGTAAGATAGCTAGCATAAAAAATATTATTTATAATATTTTTTTACCAAACCTATCATATTACAAAAATGGCACTTCAATACTTATAAACATTACTGAATAAAACCGTATTCTTTTTGTCTTTGTGAACTTCACTCGATTATGGACACGTGTTTTGAAGGGTTTCCGTGCCGGGGGTACCTTGAGGGAAGCAGGAAAGTCGTGCTGGTAAGAAAACATAATCCTGTGGACAAGCTTGAATAAAATACTGTCCGTTTCCATTGCAATGGACATATAGATGAGGGTCGCAGTTGTGGGGATACAGAGCTTGTGTCAGTGTTCCATGTTGTTTACATGGGTTGTATCGTGTTGGATTGATGCAAGTCAAGTTTTGTTGGTTCCAGATGTAACCTGGTTGACAATCCGATTCCCATGGTTGACCCCACACATCACAGTGGATATACTTGCTGCTCACGCCAGGATACGGGAAATACGTAATTCCTTCAGTTCAAATAAAATAGAATATGAGCCGCGTCACGACAAAACAAACATAATGGGTTTGCGACCAGCATGGATCAAGACCAGCCTGCGCATCAGCGCAGTATGATCAGGATCCATGCTGTTCGCTTACCAACACTATTACAAGTAGAGAAACTGATAGCGAACAGCATGGATCCTGATCAGATTGCGCAGATGCGCAGGCTGGTCTGGATCCATGCTGGTCGCAAACCCATTATGTTGGTTTTGTCGTGACGCGGCTCAAATACAATACAATAAATATTTCGCCATCGTTGTGCAGGTAAAAGACTGCCCTTATCGTACGCCGTCTTAACAAAAATGATATTAGATGGAACTGAAGCTGAATAATATTTCGATCTGGATATTAATGTAAAAAATGTATTTTTCAACAGTTTAAATCTAGCATTAGAAATATAAGTGTGTATTTATTTTACTTAATGGATAACAAAAACAGTACTGAACAACCTTGAGGAAGATAATTCTTTACCTTGGATGATGTTCTGTTCTGTGCATGGATTACTGACACCAGTTACAGCTTTCTCACATGCTCCAGAGAAAGTCTGACCTGGAGGAGCACATTGGGAACATTCTGCATAGTAGACCTACAATACAGGATAGGTCTTTAATAAGAGTTTGTGAAAAAAGAAATTAAACATTAATTGGTCAATTAAAAACGTTAAATGATTTATGTTTGCTTATTGCTGAGCATTCGTCTTGTCGTGTAATTAATATCAGTCAGTCTAGTATGTTGCTTTTCGGTCTTACTTACTGAAAAAGATACACGAAACTGTTGTTATACTTTTGAATTATTTAAATAAATTTCTTGCTACTTGCTATTTGCTATTTGCTTAATATAAATATTTATACGTTTTGTATTGCAATAACATAAAAATAGTTTCTAAAGGTTTTACCCTTCTTTAAGGTATTACCATATACTATTATACTAAGTGAACATTATCAAAAGTATACCTGATTCGGTGGACAGTATACAATGTATGTTCTTCCCATAAGATCACACATGAGGAACTTGTCATGTGACAACGGATGTGGAAACCTTACATCTCCAGCAGGCACGCTCTTGTTGTTGCAGGGAGAATGAAAATGCCAGTCCTCTGTAGTGGTATAAATTTTTAATATATCATAGGTAACAGGTGTGAATGACATGTTCAGATGTATATGTAAAAATGCTTGAACTGTACACAGATGGGTCACAAAAAACATTGATTTTAATTGATTAGATATGGTCCTTTTCAAGCGCAATATGTTGATAAGGCAACAACAATCTCTTTACCATTGATTAAAAATAAAATAACGGCTCAATAACACGTGCGTGAATTTAATTGCTGACTTAATGACTTTATCACGTTGGTATATTTTGTAGATTTGTACAGTATGGACTTATAATCTATTCTAAAAATTAAATAAAATAAAATAACCCCCCAAAAATATAACAAAGTAATCTTCCTTTCAACAGTTATTTCAGAGTATTCTCCTTTTGATAATATACTTTTTTATTTTAGATTACTACGTGCGATATTGAACTGAAAGTGAGAGAGCCTAAACCAGTGGTTTGTACATCGTCTCATTATGATTAACATATCTGCAAAATAGTTTTAATGGAAAAAAAGCCAAATAGTGTTCATTTCAAAAAAAGAGAGAAGCAAACACACATTTATATGTAGTGATTCAGTGTGCCGCCCTAATTTATAATGTGAGGTATCCTACACTGATGCTCGTATTATGGATAGCATATCTGCCAAATAGTTTCAACTTCCTTAAATCGGTTTAAAAAATACAGAGACACACATTTGTTAACGGGCGGATAGGTGGCCAGGTGCATTACATTATACGGCCGATATTCTGCCGAGCAAAAATTTAAGTAATAAAGTAATGAAGGGCCTCCTTTTGGCTCTAACCTATGTATACATATCTTCACTATGATCCCATCATTAAATAGAAATACAGAATACTTCTTCTTCCACTAATATTCGTGTTTCATAAATTTACCTGTGCAATTGTAGTAGGATTCGTCACAAGAGATAGGAACAAGTCCTCTAAAACACAGAACCTCTGAAATATAACAGTACAAATAAAAAAGGTACAACTAAAACAAGAAATAAAAGCAAAATCAATAAAAATATAGGAAAAAAGTAAATACATTTTATGCGATGTTATCTGAAATATATCATTGAAAATCTAAATAAAAAATATTAGAGCTGAATTGATGTTTTCATCTTATAAATAAAGAGACATTATGCCCATTGCCCATCTGAGATGACATTTAAATTCAAGTTATAATTCCATGGCTTGAATAGGTCTTGGTCAGTCACCATTATAATAGTGAATCTTTTTAAATACATAATGCTAATAAGGTTTTGTTTGACAGCGAAAATAATGAGCACGGTGTCACTTTAGCAATTAGAAAGAAAATCGAATGATTTTCTGAGATAATAAACTAAGTCTATGTAACATAAACTATAGTATATACATGTTAACACGGCAACAATTGTAAAGTGTTGCAGACTCGGTATTACTGAGCCTGTTCATGAAGGACAGCCGTAAGTGAATGCGACCTTCTTTACCCACTAATGTCAGCTAACTTACTATGGAGACAAATCATGCTTGTTTTTAGAATTTCAAACATTCACAGATGTGTAGTAATTTACAACAACAACATTATTGGTCAAATAAATAAATAAATAAATTATTTAATAGACAAGAAAATTATCCAATGTTGTATGAAGTAATGATTTTAAGATTAGTTTTATTAAGATTGAAACAAAAAACAAATACTAATCATTAAATGATATAAAATATTCGTTTGAAAAGACAAAGTATAAAATATCATAAGTGTGTGTGCGGAAGAAAACAAGTTCTCACCGATGTCACAATTTTCCCCCGTGTAACCATCAGGGCACAGACACCTGTATCCATTAATTAGATCAACGCACGTGCTTCCATACTGACACGGATAACTAGAACACTCGTTGATTTCTATTATGAAAAAGAGCCTATATTAAACATACATGAACACATATCTACATACACTCGTAAACATCGAAATGTAAAAATAACAGATATTACTGGTATATAATAAACGAAAATGGTCAATTTTACTTGTAGTACAGTCCCTGGGGACCTTTTGTGTGCAAAAAAGGTCCATGGATTTAAAAGTTTTTACCAAAAAAACCGTTATCTAGTATCATTATCAAATTGAATGTATAAAAATTCATTTTTTTAAATTTTTCTTTGCTTGATTACCGATTTAAGCATTTATCATAGTTTTTTTGTATCACAATTTGTATCAGTTTTGATTTCTCTATAAGTATATAAGTATTTAAAGTGGCAAACCTTCAACTGAATACATCTTTACGAAACAATTGATAATGGTAACTTATTTTTAAGTGAACATAGACAAACACTTACCTCGCACTTGATAATTATAACTTAAAAAAATAACGAAACAGTCGTCAAAGATAATCATATTTGAAGAAAAGTCATAATTCTGTTAATAGTTATTCTAGTCATTACTTGGGTATGAATATGGCCATTAATAATTATCTGTTTTAGTCATATTTTTTTTACAAGTTGAATATTTTGAAGCGCCATTTGCTTATCTGGAGGCTTGCCGGTTTAAGTTATGTTAAAATAAACTTACCAGTAAGGCAGTTCTTTCCAGTGTAACCGGGTTTGCAGTGACAAATATAGTCGCTAGCACCATCTGTGCAATTGATACTGTATGCACTGTGGCACGGGCTGGATGCACACTCGTCTATATCTAGCATGTATAATGATAATAGCCTGTTAGATAAGATAATTCTGTATAAACTTTCTTAGATTCATAATTGTTTTCTTTTTTTCAAACCAAAGGAATTTATTTAAATTATTGAAAAACACAGAAACAGTTATATAGCTAAAGAATCACAGAAAAACATCTTTTCATATTTAAAACGGAAGTCATAACACTAAAACATAACTGCATGAGCTCAAGTTAGTCGACAAATGTGACAGTTTACCTATATGACAAATATCTCCAAGAAAACCATGAGGACAAGTGCAAGAGTAACCAATGCCATTCAAAAAAGATATACATGTTCCACCATTGGCACAGCGATCCCTTCCAAGAGCCGAACAGATATCTAGAAAAAAACATATTAAAAATCTAATTCTGCAGATGCATCTTTCATTTCAAGCAGCAAAAGAACGAAACTAAGGTAATGTTTTATTTCTAAGCTTGAGTTTTGATATGGTAAATTAACTTGAATCTTATGAAAAGATTTGGTGAAGTTAAAGTATGTCTCAGATAAGAATAAATTCTCTTTATACAGAAAGAGAAAACATGTGTTTTATAATACTGCAGTAATGTAGTAACAACATGTGAAATTCTTATCACCTGATTAAAATAGCGTTGAATGTGAAATAGTTGATGGTAACAAAGCAAAATGTTCACAAAGTGGCATTTAGACTTCCATACAAAATGCTTATTCAATAAAATTGTATTATATTCTAAAATACAAGAGAAGAAAAGTATTTAAACCTATTAAGTAACGCTTTTGAAACTGTAACAAGAGACAAAAATAAACGCCTTTGAACATAACAATAAAAAGCATTCTTGGTGCTCCATAGGGCTTAAATTAAATTTGACATAATCTTTTAAGCATATTGTCCAGAATGTATATGATTCTAACATAAAATGCTTATCAAAAAAATGCTTATCAAATTTCAATGACAAATACGAGGTATGTTCAACAGTATCCGGACAAGTATCGTATAGTAATTTTAACTATAATTTTCATTATACTAGTTGTTTTAACCATGACGCGTCTCGAACTGGATGGATTGTAAATAATAGTTTAACGTTGGTATACAGTATAACATATTCTATATTTGTTTGTTTGATTGATTCATCAATTTCATTTATATGTCTGTCAAGTTGATGGATTCTATTTAAGTTTAAGTTTATAACATTAACAATCTACCACTTATTATTATACAGATACATGTAACTTAATACGTGTATGCAAAGACTGAACAAAAAAACCCCAAAAAACAAAACAAACAAAATACATTTTTCAAATATGTGGAGTAAGGAAGATAAACATATAAAGATAACTTGATATTGCAAATGTAATCAATCTGGTTAAAATTATCAATAAAACACCTTTGCAATCATAGGCATAATGTCCCGGGCACCAAGATGTTACCGCCACAGTTTGCCCAGCAGGACAGGACTTTGAAAACTTGTTTGCTATGTAAGCCCTGTATTGCTCAGTCTGTCGACAAAAAGTAAAATCATATTTCATAACTATTAGAATACAGGCAGAACATAATGAAACTCAAAACATGATAAAAGCGTGTCTTTTATCATAAAAGGGTTGCTATGAAATGATTTAAGGTCATAATTACGTTCATAAAAAATCGCAATAAATGGCTCACTGAGAAGTAAGCAAGTTTTGTATGGCAACTGTTATTCGGTTTACAAAGATCGCTTATCGTAATTGTAAACACTGTAACTTTATGTCATAAAGAATAGTTATAAAATCTGTGAGCGAGACGGAAAGAAAAATAAGATTTTATGACAAATAAATAACAACAAAATAAAGCAAATAAATATGCTCAAAAGCAGACATATTTAGCAATTCTGTCAATGTATTAAACGCCCAATGACCGTGTATAAATATCGTATTTGAAATTACTTTACTTAAAATAGTTTTAATATTATACTGTCCTACTCACATAGCATTTTGTCCCCTGACTTTCACAGTAAGATTCGTGACAGCATTCTCTAGGAGTAGCCCTCTTACCATTAGCAAGAAAAGAATTAGCGTCGTATTTTGAAAACTCAGCGTAACAAACATTGTCACATGACCCCGAACATGGTCTGTGTACTAGAATGAAAAACAAAATAATAATAATGAGAGCAATGGAAACACATTTAGAAATCGTACAAATGTTATCGAGACAAGTATGGTGTTAATCAATCTTCAAAACATAGAGGACAAAGCAACATAACACTGTCACTAAATATGTAAAATATAAACATTAGTGTAGTAATCTTTTTATTAAAAATAATCATAAATAGAAATAAGTATAATTTACAGTGATTTGATTAAGCAATTATAAAGAAAAACAGACTTCCAAATACATTATGAATTTTAAGAAAGAAAATTCGGTATTTCGTTGATGATAAAGGCATGCAATGATATGTAGAAAAATGTAATTTAACAGAAAATCCTAATTAAAGGTCTAATGAAGCAAATGATAAAATATACTGACATGAAATGTGTACAATATTATTTAACATATTTAACAATATTCAACATAAATTGGAATATGAATATATAAGATACAAGATAACTTACATTGTCCAAGGGTTTGAACTAGCCAATTTGTCAAGAGAAACAGTGCAACTATTTTTGCGTCCATTTTTTATTACTCAACGGCAAAGGAAATGCATTTACAACATGGTATAAAATATGCAGTAATATGCACTCACTTGACAAGCTCAAGTTCAGGTTAAGCATCCATATTATCAAAGTTTAAACTTGAACATGAAATGTGTCCTTTATTTAATTTTTTTTGGATACATTATCAATACTTGTTAGAGTCAAAAAGTTGTGTATCTCGTCTTTAGGATCGTAAATCTCAACTCAAGTATTTTCATTGTAATGTTTTTGCAAGATATCGCTTAACTCAAGTATGTTTTTAACAAAAATTATCATTTTTTCCTGATAAAAACATAGCTTAATAACTCTTGAAAATTTGAATTTAAGTCAAAGTTTACTGTATGTACAAAGTATTATGGATTAAGTCTGCTTTAAAGTAGTTCAAGTGATATCTTAAAGATTATTTTGACATTATCGAAATTAAATGAAGTATGTAAAACTATGTAATAAGTATAAATTTGCTGCATTAAGTTGCCTATTTAACGACAGTTTATGTTTGTATTTAATAATGAATTAATAATAACTTATTAAGATTTCAAGTTTGTCTTTCCATCATTAACCACAAAATAGTCGATGAGCAACATTGAATTATGACTATAATCTTTTCTTAAATCAAATGGACAACAAGCAATGGGTTATAGTAATTCTGGCAGTGAAAATACCCCTCACCACCACCCTCCATATACACAAAAATAAAATTAAAGAGACAATATCACCATTATCTCAGGTAATAAACATCGGAGTCAATGATATCTTAATTATGTTGTCAACACTCCTAAAGTCTGTTGTGTTTTTATTTAAAATTTCAAACAGTATCATTCATTTTTATAAATTGTTAAGTTGGTCATAATCTACATTTTTTAATGTATCGCTAATCATGGAGATATATACATTCAAATACGATAAAGAGTATTCATTTTCAACCAAAAACGGTCTTCAGAAAGGCCAGTAAAAACGTGCTTTAAATCCGATATCATAAATGTTATTTACTTCCCTTTATCCACTTTCTTTCCAATATAAAAATATTGAACAGACCGACGCAACGCACTACTTTTGTTTAATTTAGATGCCGTCTCTTGTTTAATCCGCGATTTATGCATGCCAGACTTTTCTACCCTGTCATCATTTTTTCAACTCTTATCGACATTAATATATAAAATATCTGATCCTTATGACGCTTCTGATCAATTCTAATTTAATGGTTTAAAAGTTTTTAAAATTGAATTTAATTTTTTTTCAAGCGTTTCAGGCACGAGCTGAAATCAATCTCCTACGCATTGATCTCCCCTTACAGGATTAGATCTCTGCCATCACAACATTTTCGTCAAGATTTTTGACGATATGAATTTTTCAATTTTTCAATTTATTTTAAAAAGTAAACACGGTTTTGCTAATGTTTCAAGACCGATAGGTGTTAGATGTGAACTAAAATAAAAAATAATTTTGGAAACATTAATATTATGAAAATAATTTAAAAAAATTTAATACCGCACCGTTTATTTCCAAAACAATGACCCCTCTCGAAAGAGAAATCATTAAAGTAATTATTAATTTCGACTCTACGCTTTACAAAAATATTTTTTTTTCAATCATATCGACATATTTGAGACCAGGGTTCAAGTTTTAATGTCGTTGTTTTTTTTTACAGATAAAACATTTATTCAACGATTTCATTGGCGTATACGCCATTTTTACACAATCATGTGATAAGACCATCATCACGTGTTTTGTGTGAAGGCAGTGGCTACTGGCCGTAGCGTAATCGGTTCGCGGAGTTTGGAGCTGAAATATGTTTATGTGGTATTTACAATGAGACTATGTAGTTGTTATATATAGTTTTAAATATGAGGCTTGTTCAGCATACTATCTCTTTAAAAAAAATCAACACACATTTTTTTAGCGTCTTATGCTTAAAATTCCTTGAGTTTTTTTTGTCAAATTGAATATGAGACTGAAAGTATTTGTGTATCATTGATCCTAATAAATTGTATGCAAAACTTCTTATTATAATATTATTTGATTATTTCGTTTATACAAGATAACCATTTTGATTGTAAAAATGACCTTAAAATAATAGCAATTCACGTTTATTACTAAAATTGGTCTTAAGTCTCGAAAAAAAAATTCGACAAACAATTAAATTGTAAGTACGACAAGAAAAGCTTATCACCTAAAGGGAAAAGCATTGAATGTAGCATATTTTCTGATAAAGGTAGAAACATGACATTTGGCTTCTATACAAAATGCTTAATCATTATATTATACTTGTTTTCGAATCGGAAGAGAAGCACAGCATGCTGCAGGTATATAGCCGTTGAGTAACTTTATAGAACATGTATAAGGACACTGTAAATGAAAGCTTTTGAAAAAAATAAAACTAGATCTAAAGCATGTGTAGCTAAATGTGCTTTTTAACGCCACATTTAATCTATTTACATTAACTAAGAATTTCTTTATCTTTTTGTCTCAATGATTCTGAACCTCAGGAGCTCCTTTTAAACTAAAGACAAAAATATTTTCTGAATAAAAAATCTTATATTATGTATAATAATTTTGTTTTGATGTTTGAATAGGCTTCTCGCCCATTGAATATTGTTTTCAAACACAGACATCTATAACTTGGAATATCCGGATGGTGTATAGTGTTTTTGGCACATTTTAGCACATTAGATAAGATCAAATAAGATAATGGTAATGAATAATTAAATGGCAAAGTATACACTTTCTTGGACGCACTTTTATCAATAACGTTATTGGCAATTCTTTAATCCCCTAAACAAAATTTGGCCAAAACCCATTAAACAATTAAAATAATTAAGGTCTGTTTTACTTCGGCTGTACTTATTTCAATGTTTACGGATTGCAAAACTGAGTGTTAGACATGCTTTGCTATATAGACCATAAAAGTTAGTAGACAAAAATATATATCTTATCTGACACATACATACCTTAGATGCACATACGGTTTGACATAGTATTTACGTCTGTCACGGTTCAGAACTGTTCACTATTTAGGGGAGAAGATGTGTAAGCGGCCGGATAGCTCAGTCGGTAGAGCCGCGGAACGGTATTCCGAAGGTCCCGGGTTCGAGTCCCGGTCAGGCTGCACATTTTTCTCACCCTGTGACATTTGGCGCCCAACATGGGACCCGTGACTGCTTATAGCTCAGAGTTCAATTAGCATTGCTCTGTAGCTTTGTGAAATTCGAGGACGAATTTCAATATTGTGGTGAAGTATGTCACGGTTCAGAACTGTTCACTATTTAGGGGAGAAGATGTGTAAGCGGCCGGATAGCTCAGTCGGTAGAGCCGCGGAACGGTATTCCGAAGGTCCCGGGTTCGAGTCCCGGTCAGGCTGCACATTTTTCTCACCCTGTGACACGTCATAATATAAAACTGCTTTACACAACACTAGAATGTTATAGACTATGATTTTATTGAGTACCGCTCAAGCCGGTGCTAGGGGGCGTGAGGGATGTTGCACTTATTCATTATCCCTCATGTACAGACTCAATCAAACCGAGTCTGCAATTCTAATGTTATTTTGTTGTGATTAATGCTTCCGAGGGATCACTTTGTTTCCAGAATTTTGTACTTCACAACAGCAGGTGTCAAGTGCTGTGTGGCAGCCGTAAAAAGTTGCCCCGTACTTCACTTCAGTGTTGTTATATTTTCTGGTCCTTCGGGATCATTGATGCCAACACTATAAAGTGTTGAGAATTGAGTACCGCTCAAGCCGGTGCTAGGGGGCGTGAGGGATGTTGCACTTATTCATTATCCCTCATGTACAGACTCAATCAAACCGAGTCTGCAATTCTAATGTTATTTTGTTGTGATTAATGCTTCCGAGGGATCACTTTGTTTCCAGAATTTTATATATGTTGAATGTTAATATTAATAAATAAATAATTTGATTGTGAACTAACATTTGGTTAAAATCCGTTATTAATATTAGATATGATTGCTTTTCTTGTAATGTGTCGAGTATACTTGAAAGTTAACAACAGTAAGAAAGAGCATCCAAATCGGGAGAACAGTGATAACGTGGTGATAGAATTAGGCCCTTAAGACATGTCAGGAAATGTCCAATCAGATAAAACGCTGAATTATTAATGATGTGTTCAGTAAAACGATAGCTTTCACCTCCAATATCTAAGGCCATTGACATTTGTTTTTCTTTTGTTCTATTTATGCAAAAATCTTGTCAACATTAAGCGTGATATATATAAATTAATTGAATAAATTTTTAATTTCTTGTCATTCTGACCACCATTTATAACAAGAGACGGCGATGTAACTAAACAGTCGTATGTTTATTCTAAACCTACGATTTCAGTACTTTCCCCATTGTTTTGAAGACTCGAGATATGTTGCCTGTTTTTTTTTATAATTTTTCTTTTGACAGTTTATTTGTGATATGCAAGCTTCATAACCTCTGTTCCCCTCTCTACAGCCCTTTTATTTAGTTTTGCCCATTGTATTCCGGTTTAGCGCACACGTGTATTGTTTACTTCATGTTAAATTTTGAATTCTCTATAAGCCGGTGCTAGGTGCCGTGAACGGCAGCCTGCATTCTCCAGTAGCGTCTATGAATATGCTCAATCAAACAATGTTTGCAACATTTTCAATTTTGCAGTTTTAAGCAATCTATAGTGATTCTTTATTTCTCTTTTATTTTATGGTTTTATTACATTTACTTGGTATATTATCAAAAACAAAACAAAACATTATTAGTTTTAAGAGAAGTAGTTGGTTTCTTCATTCCTTTTGGCAACACATTTAGTTACGTAAAGTGAATGGCCTTATCATTGGTATATTCAAACACGTCTTCTTCTTCATAAAAACAGACAAAAAGTTCATAGAAGACTAGAACTTGATACACGGCGTTTTTAACACATCTCAATAAATTAAATAAGATCAAATTAGATGTTGGTAATGAATAGTTTATTGGTTGAACAGACACTTCTTATCTCTAGAATAAGGTTATTGACATAGAACAAAATGGAGCAAAACATTGTGTCTAACATCGATATATCAATGACCTAAAATGTACTTCTATTTAGGACAACAAGGTCAG